TGGGAGAAAAAAAAAAAAAAGAACAAAAATGCCACAGTTGTTGTCACTAAATGCCCTCTGCCATGCTGTGGGCACTATCCCAGCAGAGTAGCTGAAGTCACTGCCTATGGAGGGCTGAGCCACCAAGGACAGGAAAGCCTCTAGCGTGTGCGGAGACATGACCCTTAGATTGTGCCCTGGTTCTCCATTCGCCATGGACAACCTTGGAAAAGTGAAACCACTTGTCTGGGCTCTCAGTTCCTCGTCTGTCAGGGATGACAGTCCACCTTAAGAGCTATCAGTCTTAAAGGACTGATGAGACGGCACAGTGAGCTAAGTCTCTAGCACGGCACCCGGTACTGTAGGACCGCAATAAACGTATTTATCTTTAGTATCTTATCTGTGAGGTGCCGTGTGGCATGTAAAGACCGGAAGAGAATGGATTCGACTGTGCATCTTGTCCCTAGACCCTGAGGACAGAGATCTAAGTTTACGTTTGTGATTTTAGGCTTCCAAGTTGACAGTCAAAACCAATAACCATGTCCTCTCCCCCCATGGCATCCGTGCCAGTGGGCAGCTGTTCCTTTGAAATTTATTAAAATACAGGTTGAACACCTTTGAGAAGGTTGGTAAGGAAGAAGTGGCCCAACCTGGCAGGCTCTGCTTCTGCATTTAAGACACATTGTTGCCATTTGTGTTTTCATCAGAAGAGAACCTCTGTTCCTCCTGAATCTGTTAAACATGAATCATTGAGAGGTGTGGTTCGAGGTGACTAGATCCGACCGGAGGCTCTGAGCGGCCTTGGAAGCAGTTATGCGCTTGTGGTTTGACTAACCTTTTTTATGAGTGTGTTACTCAAGAAACGTGAGCTATTGGCTTTTCGATTACCGTAGCCTACCTCTGCTGAGTTTCATACACATTGAGTCATCGGTCCGCAGGTGACAGATTGTCATCTGCAGTGATCAGGTTACGGTAACTGGGAGATGAGGGGATCTGATCAGGGCGAGCCCTGTGCGCGTGAAGATCTGAGTCGTTAGGTCGCCTCTCCACCTTGAACAATGGCCTGCGCTAACCGCACAGCTCAGTCACCCCTTCCATTCCCCCAGGGGCTTGTTTCCCCCTCCTGCTTCTCCTCTTTCCACCTGTGGCCTCTCAGCTGTTTGCTGAGAGGTGCTGTGGATTGTGTGGCTTGGGTAAGGAAAGCACAAAGCACACCCCTGGGAGAAAGGATGGAACAAAAGAGGGTGTGTCTACCCAGCCCTGGAAACCTTCCCAGAGCCTCTCTTGGACCGCTCCTGGTATTTAGGAAGTTTGACAGGGCCGGCCACACTGAGAAACCGCCGATGACCTTGAAAAGACTAAGGAACCAGATTTCACCAACCCTGCATCATTTCCAGGGGAATGAGTGTGTGTGAACTCAGCGTTGCCTGTTCTTCACTTAACCACTGCAGCCAGCCGTCATCAAGGGAGCTGGAAGTAAAATCACTGCCGTTGGTTACTTTGGCAAACACATCCATTTCTGTAGTTTCCTAGTGAGCTGCCAAATTAGGGCATTTTCCTTTTCTTTGTTTTCTTTTTTCTCTCAGATATTAGCTTAGAAAGTAACATGTCTGTAAGGTGATGGGGATGCATGTGTGCAAACACATCGGCTGGACCAGATCCCCTGGCTGGCCTTTCTGCCTCCAGCCTTGTTCCCGCACGTCTCACATGTTGTTGTTACATACACCACAGCCCCCTTTCCACAAAGGCGTTTGGCGTTTGCTGTGTGGCTGGTTATTCAGAAAGTCTATCGTTTGGCCCTATCGTGTGTGTTTTTAAGGGCTCTCTGATTCGTTATGATACTCGGATTGGACCTGGAGCCTCACACATGCTAGACAAGTCTTCTACCATTGAACTATATCCCTAGACCTGTTTTGACTTTTGGAGACAAAGTTTCACAAAGTTGCCTGGGCTGACCTTGAACTCCCTCTGTAGCCTAGCTTTTTTTTTGTTTTGTTTTGTTTTTTTTTTGGTTTTTTTTCCCCCCACATCTTTCTTTCCCATAATATGGGACAACACACAGGACATTCATAGACTTTGATCCCCATGAAAAGAATACTAGGGCTAGTAAGATGGCTCGGCGGATGAGGGTACTTGGTGTTAAGTTTGGCAACCCAACTCCTAAACAGAGGTCCCACGTGGTAGAATAAGAGAAGAGATACCCACAAGTTGTCCTTTGACCTCAACAAGCATGCCCTGGCACACATACGTACCCCCTTATACACAAAACAAATAAAGTTAGAAAGAAAGGAAGGAAGGAAGAAGGAAGGAGGGAGGGAGGGAGGGAGGTCATGCTGGCATGTGCCAGGTGTTGTGTAGGTGCCTGGCATTGTCCTCACGCTGACCCTGTGAGCGGTTACTGTGTTCATTTCACTTAAGGTCGTGCAGCTGGTAGCCAACAGAACCAAACTTAAACCGGTCCAAACTGGTCCAGGTGACTACAGCACATCTCTATCACTGAAGCTACCCCAGTGTAGGGACCACTAAAGTCGGAGAAACCCTTTACACATCTCTCTTCCTGCCCTTGTCAGCCTTCATCTTCTCTTCTCCCTCAGACAGAACAATCCAGATCCTGCCAGTTCATCAAGACCCTCCTCAAGAGTTAGATTTCTCCAGGACTGGAGAGGTGGCTTAGTGGTTAAGAGAAAACTGGTTGTTCTTCCAGAGGACCTGGGTTCAGTTCCCAGCACCCACATGGCAGCTCACGACTGTCTTTAATTCCAGTTCCAGGGGACCTACCACTCATGGCAAAATACCAATGTGCATAAAGTAAAAATAAACAAATTTTAAAAAAGAGTTAGATTTTTCCAAGAATTCGTTTCCTCTCCAGAGTCCTTCCAAAAGTTTTGCATTCCCTTAATGTGGAAATATACAGTTGATACCAAACGGTCTCATTTTGCCTGTATGAGATCTTATAACACACCCCTTTTCAATTATTTTCCATCCTGACTGCAGTTTCCCCACCTTCCTCTCCTCCCAGTCCGTCCCTCACCCCAACCCCTATCTTCTCCTCCTCCATCTCTCTTCAGAAAAGGGCAGGCCTCCCATGGATGTCATCCAGCCGTGGCATATGAAGGTGCAGTGAGACTCCGCACCTCCTCTCCTACTAAGACTGCACGAGACAACATGGTAGAAAGGGGAGGGTCCCAAAAGCAGGCAATGGTGCCTCCCCCACCCTTTAAAAAAAACAACAGAATATGAGGTCCTCCCCTGATTCAAACCTCAAATGGGGCGTTTAAAATAAAATCACAAGCCCCCATAGGTGACATTTTAGGCCTTAGCGTCTTGTTTCTGCCCTGCTAGAGTGGAGACCACTCAAGGATAGACTGAGTTCCCCATCCCTGTTTTCTTACCGCGCCGTTTTATTTCTTTCTTTTCTGAACCCTTTTCTGTGAGGCGGTGACAAGTTTGGCACCCTGGCATGGCTAGGGAATGTTACAAAAGAGAAGGGCCCAGCATTTCAAACCCCTCCAGGATCCAAAGTCAACACAGCGACTTAGAAACCACATCCGGCATTGTCCCATCTCCCATACTCTCTCCTCCCTCCCCTAGTCACAGTGCCCTGAAGCCACTACTGCTGATAGCGTGCTCCCTGCCTGCTCCTGGACCAGAGAGCCTCCTACTCACTTTCTTCCTCCTCCTCCTCTTCCTCCTCTTCCTCCTCCTCCTCCTCCTCTTCTCCCTTCTCCCTTCTCCTCCCGTCTCCCTTCTTCTCCCTTCTCCCTTCTTCTCCCTTCTCCCTTCTTCTTCTTCTTCCTCCAAAACAGGGTTTCTCTATAGCTTTGGAACCTGCCCTGGAACTATCTCTTGTAGACCAGGCTGGCCTCAAACTCACAGAGATCCCCCTGCCTCTGCCTCCCGAGTGCTGGGATTAAAGGCGTGCGCACCAACCACCCCAGCTAAACCTCCCTTCTCTTTCCTAAGGCACAGCACCCAGTGTGTTGCTGTGGCTAACGCTATTTTCAGAGTTTCTCAGCAGTTTGACATGGGAAATGGAGAGGGTGATCACACGGAAATCTCTTCAGTTAAGTGTGCAGCGGGTCCTAAGGATCCAGATGCATCTAGACTACATCTGTTCTCTGTCTATCAAAGATTGGTACCAAGTGACAGGCATGGTGACCTATCCCTCATCTCAGCACTTAGGAGACTGAGACAGGAGGATAATTAGCTAAAGGGCAAACTGGGCGACACAGAGAGACCCTGCCTTGAAAAACCAAAAAAGGAGGGGGGGGAGAAGAAGAAAAAAAGAAAGAAAGTAACGGTAGACATTGTCTAAAAAAAAAAAATCTCGTAGGGCTGGATGTGACTCAGTTGGTAGAGTATGTGCCTCGAAATACAAAGCCTAAGCCTATACTCTGGGAATTTGCAAAGTGGAGGCCAGAGAATCAAAGGTTCAAGGTCATCCTCAGCTACATATTGAGTCCAAGGCTAGCCTGGGATACATAAAACCCTGCCTTAAAAAAAAAAAAAAAAAAAGGAAATGGGGGAATGGGAGGGAGTGGGAGGGAAATGGGAGGAGGGGAGGAGGTAGAAATTTTTAATAAATAAATAAATAAAATTTTTTTAAAAAGGAAATAAGTTAGGAGAGAGGCGAGCTGCAAGCTGCTGCAGCGCATCGCTGAGACCCCTGCTCTTCGCAGCACCTAATATTTAATAGTACAGGCCGAGTAACAGTTTGGAAGGCGGCAGCACTCTGGAAGGGCACACAGTGAAAGTGCGGAGGCCCCGGGTCCCTGCTCAGTGGTAGCCCACCCACCCTCTCTGCCCCTTTCTTTCACCTACTGGCTTAATTTTGACAGTTCAAACATGTGAGTGGTGGATAGCACACCCTAAGACTATCTCCCTGTGGAACGGAGCCCCCGGCACCCCCGTGGCTGGCTGCCAGTGAGCAGCAGCCACAGCCTACCCTTTCTCGCTTGTGGAGGACCCCACTCTCCGCTTCCTGCTCTTTCTGTGGTAACCTCTCCCCTCCCTTGTTCCAGGGGAGAAGCGGCACTGCTTTGACGTCAGCTACAACCCTAGCTACGCCTATGAGAAGGAGACTGAGATGATGCAGACCCGAATGGAGACTGAGATCATGCAGACCCGAATGATGGACCAAGCCATCAACAGCGCCATCAGCTACCTTGGGGCTGAAGCCCTGCGCCCCTTAGTCCAGACTCCGCCTGCTCCCACCTCTGAGATGGTCCCAGTTATCAGCAGCATGTATCCCTTAGCTCTCACCCGGGCTGAAATGCCCAATGGGGCTCCCCAGGAGCTGGAAAAGAAAAGGATGCTCCTACCGGAGAAAAACTTGCCTTCTGAACGGGGTCTGTCCCCCAACAATAGTGCCCACGACTCTACAGACACTGACAGCAACCACGAGGATCGCCAGAATCACATCTACCAGCAAAGCCACATGGTCCTTCCCCAGGCCCGCAACGGGATGCCACTTCTGAAGGAGGTCCCTCGCTCCTTCGAACTCCTGAAGCCCCCTCCCATCTGCCTGAGAGACTCCATCAAAGTGATCAGCAAAGGAGGGGAGGTGATGGATGTGTTCCGGTGTGACCACTGCCATGTCCTCTTCCTAGATTATGTAATGTTTACCATCCACATGGGGTGTCATGGCTTCCGTGACCCTTTCGAGTGTAACATGTGTGGCTACCGAAGTCACGATCGCTACGAATTCTCCTCTCACATTGCCAGAGGAGAGCACAGAGCCATGTTGAAGTGAGCATCAGTCTCCGAGCTCACAATCTAAGGGCCAACGTTGTTTTGTTTTAAAACTGATGATAGCCTTACCCTGGAAGCTGAACTCAAACCCACAGTCCTGCCCAGTTATGTTAGCATTCAGTCATATTCACACGAACAATCAGGGAAACACTGTCTTCATCCAGAAACGGTTTGCAAAGCCATCACGTTACTCTGTGAAACCTTCCTTTCCCATCAGTTGAATTTGATGGGATTTAAAAGCCAAAGAAGTATCTGGTTCATTATCTTTTGTAGCAATAGACAGCCGTCCGCTGGAGCTCATTGCCAACTGGAACAGTCTTCAGTGGGCTGCAGGAGACATTCGCTGGGATATAGCAGCCATATGCGGAAAAGCCTTTTGATCCTATGCCCAGATCCACACAGTGGAAGAGCTGACCAGCTGCCCTTGCCCTTGGGCACTAGCATGAGGCAGAAGGGTTAGGACCTAACCTCCCCCTCCCTTCCCAGTCTAACGGTAAGATAGGGACCGCCATAGAGTAAGGACCTGCTGCCAGGAATGGAAGAGCCTACCCTCGGAGCTTCAGTTCGCTTCCTGTCACACAAACAAACAAAACAGAAGCCATCTGAGGACCCTTCTGCTTCACCTGCCTGTCACCAGGGAACACCTGAGGTGATCTGGCCTAAGCCAGCTCTCTGGAAGAAAATTTTACCCAGAAGAACCAACCAACACTTTTAAATACTGAGTATCACTGACACCCAGGGATTAGCCACTGAGGGGCAGTGGCATTTGTTTTTGTTTTGTTTTTGATTGAGATTGGCCAAGCAGGCTGGGGACATAGCTCAGTGGTACAGTGTTTGCCAAGTTCAACCCCCAGGACCAGGGGACAAAAAGGAAAGAAAGAAAAGGGGGGGAAAGAAAGATTGGCAGAGCAGTGTGTGTAAGGGCACGTGGGTTGTCACTGTTGTGCAGTACTGGGTGCAAACCCAAAGAACACCTGAAAGTGATTTTGCACGCGCACATACACAGGGGACCCAGAACATGCCACTTCGCCTGCCCTGCCCCACAGGAGTGAGAGCAGGGCTACAGAAGTTCTGATCAGGATGCTGCGAGGTCACATTAGACATGGGTGGCTTTTATTTCACTTTTAACCCTTGTTGCCTAGATGGGGCCTCGAGCTCACTACTAGCTGAGGGTAGCCAGGACTCTGATCCTCCTGCCTCAGCCTGCTGAGTGCTGGGGTGAGAGATGACCACCATCAGAATGTCTGCTGTCTTAAACCGGAGCTGCCACATTCCCTTAAAGAGTCTCGGAAGTCTGTCTCGCTCTGTAGACGGACTCTGTAGCTACACACAGGCACCGAGACATCAAGGAAACCCGGAATAGAGGTCAAAACACACGTGCACCAAGCTCCTATCTGTTACTAATTAGTGTGTGCTTTTGTACAAATCATTTAACTCTGAAAGCTAAACTTCCTCAACCATAAAATAAGAGTTGGATTTAGACCTTCTTGATTGTCCCTCCCGGCTTCAATACACAATTATTCCGTAACCACAGGTTATTTTTAAACCTCCTGATGTGTGGGCACTAGGCAGAAGGGTCCATACATGAAAATGTGTTTCATATCTCTTTGGTGTGAAAATATAAGTGTGTTAAGTTTTTCCTTCAGCCACTGAGTCATGAACGTGAGGAGACTCTGAGGAGGAACAAAGAACAGGAAGGTGATTTGGTCTTGCCAAAGTGTGCACACAAATTGGCATCCACAGCTACTTGCCGGGGCCCTTTTCTTCCTTTCCTTTTTAAGAAACTGGTCTTAGGGAAAATAAGTTCTGCTTACAGGGACAGTTCCATGGAGCCTATTTACAAATTAAGAGCTAGCTTTATGAACATTTCTGCCAGAGCCAAGAATCCCGAGTTCCTGGTAGATTAGCATTTTCCTTCTAAAGAGCTTATGGATTGGGCTCTCGCTCAACTCATTTATGCAATGCCAGTAATTAAAACGTTCCACCTCAGACACACAAATGGCTTAGCCTGCTTTGTAGCATGGTGTCTGTCTCAGGGAACGGGGGTGGGGGGGCATGAAGTTCCATGGCAACAGTTCCGTGTGCCTGAGGCTTCAGTTAAAGGGCTGGGTGTCTTCAGCACCGCTGGATCTTAGCAGAGCTGGATCTGAGCTGTGCCACACTGTGCCCATTGTGAAAGAGGACCTGCCTATTCTATGCTTGAGATAGTTCACATCCTGTTGACTTTAGGGGAGGAGGCGCGATGGGAGGGAGGGAGGGAGTTGGAAAGCAGGGAAGCTAAGGAAAAGATGCAGAGATGGGCATTTCCATCCGAGTGCTGTTGAAGTCTGCTGTAGACACGTACACACACACACACACACACACACGCACATGCACGTGTGTACATTTTGTCATCTCAAGATGGTGAACTACCACTCTACCAGCCCAGAAACCTCCACAGATCAGGACAGACTTGCTGGATGGCTTCCATCTCCTGAGGCCACCTTTACAGAGCCTTCACCTTCACAAAACCGTTCTGAGCCTGAGCAGGGGCCCTCAACTCCAGGTCCTGCTGAAGCTTGAAGAGTGTAGCAGCTGAGCTTGGTGGGGTGCCGTGGTTAGTGGGTGGTTAGCACTGCCGGTGCATGTGTTCCTTGTGCTACCTAAGGGCCCCCCTTGATGGAGGTGGGGCTGAAGTGAGAAGGGGTAGGGATTTGCATCCTCCGTGGGTCTGTGAAGTCCTGGGGGTAGCTTCGGCTTTCTCACACAGTCCCCCACACCATGAGCTCTGTGGGTCTTTCCTTCCTTTCCCACCAGCCCTCTTAGACGCAGGCTCCAACCACACGCCCAAGGGGGCTGCAAACTGGGGACCAACCAAACCCACAAGAAGTTCCATTGCAGCCAAAGTGACAGAGTTGGGGTGAGGGTGGAAAGAAGGGTAGAGCTAGCTCTCCAAATGCTCTCGCCATGTCAAAGTGCTGCCCAGAGCTCAGCAGAGGTATCCTCCCATCACCCCTCGGCATTACCACCAGAAGAGGGAGAACGCCACCAATCTTCATATGGCTTACATCTCTCCTCCAGAGAAACAGTTCCCCGGGCACTGACAAGCCAGCTAGCCTTGTCTCTCCTGCTCATTCTCAGCCCTTCCTGACTTTGCTTCTGTATTCATCCATGACAGAATCCCTCCCCTTTTATGGACTAACCACTTTGGTTGGCCCATCCATATTCACAGCACACCCCCCCTCCCAAGAAAATGGCCCCAGGTGTCTTTTGCAAAGGGATATTTTAAAACACAAAATCTTACTTAATTGAAATATTATGTAACTAACAAATGTCACATTGGCAGAGAAGTTTTCCAAGGAGCTGTGTATCACTATTCTCCTCGGCTTCTTTGTCCCCCTTACTAAATAAAAGTGAAGACTTAGTAAGGGGACAAACCTTACTGCCAGGCTAGGGTGTAGCTCAGTGCAAGAATACTTCTTGCCTAATGCTAGCATGAGAGAGGCCCTGGTTTCCAAGCCCAGCTGGAAGAGAAAGAGATAGATAGATAGATGATAGATAGATAGACAGACAGACAGACAGACAGACAGATGCAAAAATTATACTTTTGAAACATACCCCAGGGCAGGCAGGAAGACCACAGGGATAAAGGTGGTCCATGGTCCTCACTGTGAAGTGCCCTCCACTGAAAAACATGGGGCCTCTAGCAAGGCCTGGGAAACTGAGAAAATTCAGACTTGTAAAAAAACAGCTTGAACATTTTTGAGGTTTGAGGATGCAGGAGCCTTGAATTAAGACTTCTGCACTCAGGAAGGAAAAAGAGTGGAGAGAGGTTTTGTTTTTCTGTGGTTTTTTTTTTTGTTGTTGTTGTTGTTCTGTTTGTTTGGTTGGGTTTTTTTGGTCTAAAAATCATCACCAAGAGCCTCAGCAGAAAATGAACCATATATACTGTCATGTTTTAAAGGATAAAGATGCTATTTTATACAGAAGGCTGTCCAGGAAACCTCAACAGTGTCCTGGGCAAAAAGATGGGGAAATTCTTCAAATGTAGAAACCAAAGGCTGAACCCTGGCTACCCTAGGACTGTTTTCTAAGAAGGACCAATCACGGGAATAATAAGTGTGTACAGAGATGGGACCACTGGTTCTAAAGAAGAGCCTGGAAGACGGGTGTGGGCTTTGCCCTAGGGTTAGCTTAAGACCGTAGCTGTCTTACCCATGCTGTATCCTCCATCACCCACCAAGCCATCAATATGCTCAACAGGTCTTTGCCCTTTGAAGGAGCTGGAAGTGTTGTTCCCTCTAAACATTCCAACTGTGGATTGTCCTATCCACTGATAATGTATGACCTGTTGCCTGAAATTGGAACGTTAATGTTTTGATTAAATATGTAAAGTCATAATGATGTCTACCTTCCAGGGTGTACTGAGGTTTGCCATAGTCTTGTCTAGAGAGAAAAGCTGCTTGTGGGGAGGGGTGTTAAACCGTCCAGTTAGACATTTTCTGCTGTGAATCCTGTGTCTGGTAAGAAGGACATGAATGGATAGGTCAAGATCATGCGAGGGCCAGTGCCGTTGCAGAGGGAGGCCACTAAGGTCTAACTAAGAGTGTCTTTGTTATGCTTCATAAGGTTAGTGAATACGCTGGCCCCTGGAGCCAATGTAGAACACTCCATGGTCTTTCTCTAGGTCAGCTTTGTTCCCTCCCTGTCTGTAAGATCACAGTCATCGGCTCTCGGAGTCTTGGAATTCCCCCATGCAGTCCTCACCCTCCATCACTCCAGAGAACCCATTCCCGGGAGCCCAGAGAGGAGCCCCACCGGACTCCCCAACTTGGTTTCTTTGCCTCCCCCAAAAGGCACACACGTGCTAACATGGCAGGGAAATGGGGCAGCCTTTGAAAATGATTGCTGTGGCTGCCAGTGACTCATCGGTGAGGACTTTTCCAAGCCAGCAGGCCAGGTTCTTCCTGGTGGCCCTGCCTCTGTGGATTCACGGAAACCAAATTACTGTGGGTTGCAAAGAATTAGCAGGTCATTTTAAAAGCAGACATGCCTTCACCCAGACTGTGGTTTCGTGTGCTCGGGTTCTCAGTCTGTGAGCACTGGGGACGATCACTTTGGCTACTGGAAAAAACCATAGCTTATTTTTAATTTCTGGTTGTCAAAGTCACCACACGTGTGGTCTGTGGATGACCCTTGTCTGCAGAGTGATGAAGGAGGAACAAAAGGTGCTTTGGGGCTCAGGGAACCCTCACCCACAAGTTACCACAAGGCCTGTGCTGTTGGCCGTGCCCTCTTGCCTGTGTTTCTCAGAAACATCTCTTGCCAGTGGCGTCTCATTTCCCTCCCCTGGAGTTTCACCTGAATCCCACCATTGGGAGCATTCATTGTACAGTACCTCCGCACTCCGTAAAGTCTGTCCAAAGTTCACTTGGAGTGAAGCCGCGCTAACCTCGTCAGAATGTAAGGATTGCATCGCCTGTATGAAACAGCTTGCTGATACTGTCAAGTTTTCTCTACTGTGTTTGATTTTTACCCTGATAAATAAATAAATAAAATTCTGGTGTGTTTAAAATTAGTGCTGTAGCAATTCTTATCACTTGTCGAGGTTGCTGTCAGAAAACGAAGAGATTTCATTCTGCCTTGGGGAATATTTCCCTAATTTTGTCTCAGCTTTTTCTTAAAGCCAAAGTATCAAGATCTGTGGAATTAAGCCAGGCGGTGATGACACATGCCTTTAATTCCAGCACTTGGGAGGCAGAGGCAGACGGATCTCTGTGAATTCGAGGCCAGCCTGGTCTACAGAGCTAGTTCCAGGACAGGCACCAAACCTACGGAGAAACCCTGTCTCGAAAAAACAAAACAAAACAAAAACGTGGAATTGCCACAGGAGTCAGGTACATTTTCTCCCCAGATGCACTGCTGAGCCTACCTAATGCGCCCTGCTGGTCCCCGAGGCCACAGCAGAGTTCTGAGTGCACACATCCTCTCACTGGGGATTCCAGCAGACAGGAATCTGGACACAGCAGGATCAGAACTCAGAAGAGCCTCCTTCTTCCACATCATTTGGCCATGCCATCCTCCCCTCCCGCAGCGGGTCTGGAGAGATAGGCAGGTAAGTAAGCCTTGGCTTTTTTCAACTGTGGGTCTCTGAAACAGTAAGGAACCCGAGCTGAAGTTCATTCAATTCAGCCAAGTTACATACAGCCTGTAGATACTTGGGGACGTAAGCCTAAGGTGAAGTGGGGCATGGGGGGCTCCTAAAAGAGCGACATGTCCTTGTCTCACTTACCTGGTATTGACCTCCAGACAGTTGGAGGAGTCTGACTTCTGTCACCCTCACGTAAACTCACTCAAAGGCATGTCGAACCTGGGCCCATGGATCACACACGGCCAGGGACAACCACGCATGCAGGCCAACTCACAAACCATAAACTTCAACAGTGAGACTTTGTTTAATTCACTGTGCAGTTCTTGGCTGTGCATTATGTCACAATGTCAAAAGGCTGGACACACATGTCTCCCTTGCCTGTCTGGATGAGGCTTCTGTAGTTTGGATCTAACAAGCTCAGTCCTTGTGCAGGTTGGTGGCGGGGTGCCTCCCCTCCCCCAGCAACTCAATTGCAGCAGTATCGCCCTCTCTTTTGCTTTGAGGACTTGGCAGGCCAGTCTGCCCTTGTGTTTTAGCATAAATCACTCAAAAGCAGCCTTCCCTCATTTAGCCATTAGGCATGTATGTGGCCTTCCCCAAACCCACTCCCTCCCAAGTAAGAGCTGAGGGGAAAAGGGGAGACAGGGAGGCCTTGAACCCTTTGCAAGGAGGTAGGTGAGGGGCATTTCCCTCCAACCTAAGGACACTTTACATTCCTAGCTCCAGTGATCAGTTGCTTCAGAGGAGTGGTGGCCCTGCCAGAGAGGCCACCTCACACCTGCAGCCTCCCCACACCCCATCACTCCACACCCAGGCCACCTGCAAGGCTGGAAGACCCAAACCTCCACCTGCAAGCAACTGCCACCTGAGGGTAGCAAGGCAAAGGACCAAGTTGCCTTCCCTCTGAATCCATCCTTAAGATCCTGGGGCATTAGACACCAGAGTTCCAGACTACCAGGAATGGCCCGAGGGAGATAGTGAAGTGGGATGTCCTACCCAGGCCATAAATTCTGCCCCTGGAGCATTCCCAAGCAGACGGTTGTTTGCATAAAAGCCAAAAGTCACTGCACCTGGGCTGGGGAGGCCCTCTAGGGAGGTAGTCCTTGGCTTGGGGGAAAGGAGGAAGGAAGGTGTCATGGAAAGTCCCTGAAGGACACGGGTGTTGAGTTTGCTGCGGTTTTGTTTTTAACTCTGTCTTGACCTGTGAAGTGTGCAGCTGCCTCCCTGTCCCCAAATAACAGAGAGCGGCCCCCCCATATATAATAAGCACACATACAAGGAAAAAGAGAGGCAGTGGGAAGAATGGAGGTTAGAGAGTGATGTAACCCGCTGCCCCCACCACCACTACCCAGGAGTGAGGGGGCAGGAAGCCCCAGAATTTTTTCCCCACCAACTCCCCCTCCCCTCTGCCCCCTGGCCCAGAAGAGCAGCCTAGTCAAATAAACCACAGCCCTGGGAGAGGCAGATGGATGGGAACCAGGGGGGCAAGTACTACCTCCCCCACCCCAAGTTGGTCCCACCACCAACTCAAGTCCCCTCCCACCCCCACTGGAATTACATTCTCAGCCTTTCTGGCAGAGTTCCTGTGTGTGTTGGGGGGAAAGCTGAGCAAAACTCAGGACAACTTGGTGCCTGTACTCATGGTCTGGTCTCCCTCTCAGCCTGGCGACTGTCTGGGTGCTCTCCAGCGAGTCCTCTCTGGATCTTAGTTTTCCCTGGAGTCATGACTTTTTCAGTTTTCTTTCGGCTGGGACTCTGAACTCAACTTCAACCCCATTGCTCTAGTAGGTGCCAGGCCTGTCCCCTAACTGTAGCAAACCCAGGGCTGGGGAATCCCATTTCAGCCTCTTCTCTTCACCTTAGGGATCCTGGGGGAAGGTGAAGGAGGTAAGAGGTGTGACCTGGGAGTCTCCCAAAATGTCACTTTCTCAACTGTTTGTGAGATTCTGGGCCAAAGAAGAGACAGAGAGGTACCAGGCTCCTGCCTCTTACCCTGTGGAACCGTGCAAACTCTGGATGGGGGTGCTGGAGTGCTCTATACCTCTTCTCAGGGTGGACACAAATTCCCGAGTCAGGGAACCTTCTAAGAGACAACGCAGTAACACGGGGAGAAGTGGGAAGGCCCGAGGTGGGAGCCCAGGGGGTGAGGGAAGGGCCAGCCACATTTCTGAGAAACAGCCCGGCGTCCCAGCAGCCAGGAGCTTAACCCCGGGCCTGCGGCTTCACAGCTCTCCCCTCCAGCCGCCCACGCCGCTCGGCGCCTCTTAGGGGTCTTGCAGCCCCGACGGGGCGGCGGCCGCTGCGGACACGCTACAGATTTGAGGACAGTGGAGTGGAGCGTAAGGGCGGAGGAGAGCGCAGGAAGGCGTGGGTCGCGTGACACCCCAGGGGTCCCAAGCGCCAGACCCCGCCTGCCCGCAGGTACCGCCCTTGCCGCCCCCACCCAGGTCTTCCACTCCCAACCCCAGTGGAACGGGATCCAGAAGTGAAACCACCGGGGTCACAGCCCAGCACCACTGCTGCGCCGCGCCCCGCCCTTCCGGGCACCGCAGCGAGGTAGGAGCACCTCGCGCCCCCGAGCGCAGCTAGGAAACGGGGGAGGGGCAGGGGAAGTGCGCGCGAGTCAACCGGGGAGCCTCGGAGGCGCCGCCCACAGTTCCCAGAATGGCCGCTGGGTGGCACTGCAGCAGCGCCGCTGGAACCGCTCGGGAACTCGCAGACACCCGCGGAGCATCAACACCAGGTCGCTGCACGCTCCAGCCGGCTTTGGGGCTGCGCAGGGATGGAGTCGAGACTGTGATGTCACGCCAGACCCTAAAGAGGGTCGGAGACCGACTGGACGTGTTTGGGACCTCGCCCTGCAACGTTCAAAGAGTGTCAGGCTGCCCGCTTTATCATCATCGTGCAGGCTGTGTTGGCAGCAGGAGGGTAGCCAGGAGCACCGGATCACCTTGAACACACCTGTGTGGGTGGGACACCTCGCTTGCTCTCCAACCTCAACCTGGTCTCACCAGTCGGGGGCCTCTTCTTACTCTCTAAACCCACTCCAGGTCCCTTCACCTCCCCTAGCCCCAGAAAAATCCCCACCAAGTGCATCCCTTATGGGGGCCTGGGTGGCTCCACAGTTTAGGAGCAGGGAAGCCAAAATTGTGGAACCTGTATACACTCTGATGGCAGTATGAGAGCCAGGTAGGTCAGAGTTGGTGAGGGCTGAACGTGCTGGAATCCTGTGGAAAAGGGGAGCAGGTACCGAGAAGGGGTGAGGGGGTTCTACTATGTGCTCGAGGATGTGCCTCGGGCCTTAGAGATGAGCAGGTTAAAGGGTGCATAAGCCTTCCGTTATCATGTGTGCGTGGTGTGCATGCAATACATCCCACTCAGCTTTCCCTGCAGCCACAAGGCCCATTTCCACCACTGTTGCCCTAGTGAAATATGTGTATGCTGGCCCCAAAGGGGAGGCTCAAGAGGAAAGAAGGAAACAGCAAGCTTAGTCTGGACTGTAAGACCGATATTCTCTCTCATATATTTATGTGTATACTCATAAATGTATGCATACACATACATATCTCATATATATAAGTATATACACATATTTATATATGAGAGCGGATGGTTTAATTATATTCATTTATTATAATTTTTGTAAGTATATTAATTTATTAGTGTGCATGTATGTGGGCTGTGTGCTCATGCCATTGTGTGTGTATGGTGTGTGTGGTGTGTGGTGTGTGTGTGTGTGTGTGTGTGTGTGTGTGAGAGAGAGAGAGAGAGAGAGAGAGAGAGAGAGAGACTGAGAGAAGAGATGGTCAGAGAACAATTTGCCACAGTTGGTCCTTCCACCATGTGGGTCCTGGTGTTTGGTCGGGATGTCAGGCCTGGCCACAAATGCCTTTACCTGATGGGCCATTTTGAAAGCCCCCAAAACAATTTTTTTTACATGTATTTACTTAGAGGGATGGCCATATGCCATGGTGTACTTGTAGCAATGGAGGTCAGAGGACAGCTTACAGAAGTCAGCTCTCTCCTCCCACCAGGTGGTAGCTCCCATCCTCCAGCCCTTGGCCCATCCAGCTCCTCCTCCATGGCTGGAAAGGATGACGTCCATCACCTGCAGCCTGGGCTGGTTGTTTCCAACTTTCTCTGTGACCCCAGGTGGGTCACATGCTCTAAAACTCAGTTTTCTCTGTGTAAAATGGAAGGTATATCGGTCTCTGAGGTTCTGATTGGCTGGTTGACAAAGAAGGGGTGTAATCCCCTGTCTAGTACCTCAGGTGCTGAGGAGACGCCGGGTTATCTTGGGGGCGGCCTAACTCCTCAGACTTGCTTAAAAAGGTGACTCATCTTGGCCCCTTTCCTGCGATCTTGGCATGAATACCTGAGGAGTGGCACTGGGCATCCTTGGGCAGAACACTCCCAGTTCCCCACTTGAGGAGCAGCCAGTAGACAGGCTAGTTCTAGGGGCCATGGCAGGTGGCCAGCTGTGGAAGGCACTGACAAGTCCTACAGAACAGCAGTGAGATTTGCAGTCCTTGTATCTGGGCCACAGTGAGCTCTGTGGGGGAGGTCCCAGCAGGCAACAGTCTGGAGTGTGCAAGAGGTCTCTTTGTCTCTCTTTGTCAGACCTGGCTCCAAGCTCCCTAGCCTGGCATCAGGCAAGCCTGGGTTGTCTTTGTCCCAGTTGGCCACCAATGCTGATGAACCTGGCCCAAGTGCTCCTTAAAGTGGCTGAACCTTTGAGGTCACCTCAGGCCAAACCTGACTGCAGAGACAGGCCCTACAGAGTTGCCTTTAGAAAGGCCTGTTCTGAAGCTTAGAATTTCTACCCGAAAGCCAGCTTGGGGGGGGGAGGCAGAATGTGTCCAGACGTGGCACCCAGGGACAGTTAGACATCCCAGCTGCCCTAGAGCCTGCCCTCGGGAGAGCTAGGAGTTGAACAAGGACCGTAGTGCAACTGGCAAAGCAGCTGTTTCCTTACCTCGCACTCAGCTGGTCTCAGAGCTTTAGAAAGGTTCTCTATTTTTTAAAAAGTTGTGAGATTTTTCAAGCATATGCAGAAGTAGTGAGGGCATCAACAAATCTGGATCTTTTGAAAAATGAAGCTAGGCTGGACATGGTGACACGTGCTTTCAATCTCAGCACTGGAGTTTGGGGACTGAGGTGGTTTAAATGTAATTTGGCCCCCATAGTCTCAGGGAGTGGCACTATTAGGAGGTGTGACCTTGTTGGAGTGGGTATGGCCTTGTTGGAGGAAGTGTGTTGCTGTGGGGGCAGGCTTTCAGGTGTCCTCTACTCAGGATACCACCCAGTGTCTCAGTCGATTTCCTGCATATGCAAGATGTAGCACTATTATTATTATTATTATTATTATTATTATTAAAATTTTTCACCTACTCCCCACCTCCCATTTCCCTCCTCCTCCCCCCAGTCCTCCTCCCCCTCCCTTTCCAGTCCAAAGAACAGTCAGGGTTCCCTGCCCTGAGGGAAGTCCAAGGTCCTCCCCCCTCCATCCAGGTCTAGGAAGGTGAGCATCCAGACTAGGCTCCCACAAAGCCAGTGCATGCAGTAGAATCAAAACCCAGTGCCATTGTCCTTGGCTTCTCAGTCAGCCCTCCTTGTCAGCCACGTTCAGGGAGTCCGGTTTGATCACACGCTCCATCAGTCCTGAGATGTAGGACTCTTGCCTATGTCTTTAATCCCAGCACTCAGGAGGCAGAGGCAAACAGATCTCTGTGAGTTCGAGGCCAGGCTGCTCTACAGAGCGAGTTCCAGGACTGGTTTCATAGCTACTGAGAAACCCTGTCTCAAAAAAACAACAACAGAGAAAAACTGTAGGACTCTCAGCTACTCCTCCACCATGTCTGTCGGCCTGC